CATGGCTGCTTCAAGGACACTGAACGCGCGTGTCCGCGTCGAAATATTTGTCTAGAGTAATGTCGATTTTCCACCGCGCGGCAACGCGTGTGTACGCTTGAGGCACCTTCAGCACGTAAGCGTTTAGTGTGGCCACTCTGGTAGAAATACATACATATAATATTGCAGCGTGAGCGCGCGTACGCGCCAACGCTTTTAGTCTGGCCGTACCCTAAGGGACTCAATACCGCGCTGCTAGCATTCCCACGTCTTACAAGTCGAACCAGTGTGTATTTGAAATAAATCGGAGGGCTTTGTTTTGTACTGCCTGCAGTTTGGATATGGATGATTTTGATTGGGCATGTAGTGTATCGTGGGGTAAATGAGGGTTGATCTGACAAAGGAGAGATATAGAGTGCGTTTAAGTTGGGTGGGAGGTGGTAAAATCAATGTATTATGTGCAGATTGTTGAGGGCTATTGCTCTTCTTGTTGCTATTTGGGAGCTGATGCCGTGTGTAGTGAAGTGTAGACCTAGAACTGTTCCCTTATTCGTGTATGTATAGTGCGTGTAGTCTATGAAGATGTCGAAGGTGTTTTGCCTACCTATGCCAACGATTTTAATCTTATTTGTGTTTGTCCTAATGAGTCATTTATTTTCGAAAGTGTTGATCTCTTGTATGGCTTGCTGTGTTTATACTGCTGCGTAGTAGAGTGGGCAGCGTCCTGCGGTTATTTGTGTTATGTCATCTGCAAAAGCTGTGTAGTCTGTGCTGGATAGTGGGGGTGGGAAGTCGTGGGTGTAAAAGCTGTATAGTGTGTGGGAGAGACAAGCCCCTTGGGGGACACCTGTGTGGAGCTGTAGAGGGGAACCTATGTGATTTTCCTATTCTTATAGATGCTGTTCTGTCTGTTATAAGGTAGTCTGAGAGTGTTTTGGTGAAGAACGGGTTGAGATTGAGTTGGATGATCTTGTATTGAAGTCCGATGGGCCAAACCTTGTCAAAGGCTTTGGTCACATCGCGGAGCACTATGTTAGTGGTGTGTCTTTGTGCGAAGTATATGTCTAGTGTTTCGTGGAATGTGGTTTGTGCCCTGTGCGTCCCTCTATGTTTCCTACAACCGTGTTGTCAAGTGTTGTGTATGTTGTTAATGGAAAGGTGTTCTTATAATCTATTGTTAAGTATTTTGTCTAAAAGTTTCCCGTGAATGTCTAGTAGTGAGATGGGCCTGTAATTCTGGACTTCGTGTTGTGAAGTGTTGGGTTTGGGGAGGAAGATCATGATTGCGTGTTTTAGTGAATCCGGGAAATAACCGGCGGTAATGGCATGATTGGATATGTATAGAATATAGTGGATAATGTTTTTGGGTAGGTGTTTGAGTTGGAGGGTTGGATGCCTGTGGGACCTGGTGCTTTCTGTTTGAATGTCTTTAGTGCACGATGTAATTCTCTTATGGTGATAGGGGGGAAGTCTGTAGGGTGGAGTCGGGAGAGTTCGCCATGATTATATGGGTGAATTAGGTGTATGTTGTTGCTGACGTGGTCTTGTACTGTGTGGATGTGTTCTATGTCAAAGTCTTCATTGTCCGTGTCATCCTGAGTGAATATGCCCTGCCGGTGTTTGCGGAGGACGGGTTCTTTTTGTTCGGGTTGTCATGTTGTATGTTGTTGTGTTTGAGGTATGGGACAGCTTGTTTGGTGTTGGAGCCCATCATGCGTTTTAGGGATGACCAGAATTTTTTGGGATCTGTGTTTGTGTTTCTAATTGGTTAATAAGGTCCTGTCATGTCTGCGTTTGGATGTGTCTGTATGCTGTGTGTTGTTGTTGACGTAGGGTGATGAGTTGTCTGTTGAGCGCTAGTGATGGACCGTGGGTGTGAATGTATTGGAGGATGACTTGTTATTGTGCTGGAATGGGTAATGTTTCGTGGGTGGGTTTGATGCCTTGAATTATGCGGTGGATAATGGTGTCGATTGAGGTTTCGGTGGCGTTCTGTTTGTGATTTGTTCTGTTATCTAAGTGCGTGTTCATTTCTTCTACTCTAGGATTAGGTTGTGTGGGTTCTGTGTTGTCATAATGTTTGTTTGTATAGTGTCCAGTTTGCTCTATGAAAGGATCTATAAGGACGGATGGGTATTTTTATGGGACTTGCATATATGGTGGCTATAATGGGAATGTGGTCTGACGGGGCAATGGGTCCGGGCTGTAGATGTATGTTGTGAAATGCTTTATTGTTGTGTAGGACTCTGTCTGGTGATGTTGTTCTGTTGTGGGTGATGAGGGTTAGAAAGTAGGGTCCTATGTGGGTACATTTGCTTTGGGATATTAGTGAGTGTAATGGATTTTCTATGTGGTTGGAGGAACTGTTTAAATTATACATCAAACCTTCTAGCTCATTTAAATGAAGCTCACCGATAACATGCAAAACGACGGAGCTCGAGACACTTGGGTCGTCCGGAGATCCGACGGAACACGTGAACCTGCGGAGGTCGTCAGTTGGGCTGAGGTTGTCGATGTGCAGCGATGACAACTTGTAGCCTCCCAACAACTCCTCCACTGAGACATCATCCAGCACCTGGCCGTTCTCGTACCACAACAAAGTTCTTCCTGTTGAGGCACTCAGTTATGGGTATCTGAATATTCAAGCGCTTCATGATAGGCAGCGCGGTATTCGTTCTTTCTTCAAGTATTATATTGGCTGAGTTAAAAAAATAAACAGCGATAAACAAATTTAGTAATTTGTGTTTAAAAAAACGCAAGATTTGCATCCTTTGAACCTTTTCTGAACATCATGACAAACTCTCAGCCATTAAAATAATTGATGAATGAAGTCTCGGCTCCTCATTATCTGTAGGTACTAGAAAATTTGAAGCACTGGAGACAGATGATTGATAGTTTAAATATCATTTGGAGATAAAAATAGGCTCACTATAGACAAAAAGATGGTACAATGGAGGGTTCTTGCCTATTGCAAAGCAGTCGAGTGTGAGTGGGAAGTTTGCAGGGTAGGCTGCCAGACCGTCGGAAGATTCTTTCACCTGCAGGCTGCTGAAGATACGCGGAGAGCCTTTGCTCAAAGTACACAAGAGGTCAATTATCAAAAGGATATTCAATTAGTGTGGACATCAATTCTACATGAAGAAATGTGACATAAAGATTGGGTGCCTCCTATTTAAAACTGTGTCGCGACGAACGTCAGATATAACGATAGTGAAATCCTTATTTTGGAAGCCACACAAGAGGAAAAATATTTCCGTTTGCTCCTAAGATATAATCAATTCACCTATAACGCTGTGGATCTTCACTGCAAAAAAATAAAACTAACTTCATTCCATTTAAAACCCAAATTATCGTCGCTAGTATGTGATCCAGAAAAGACCCTCTATGTTCTTAATAAATGTCTAAAGAGGTACATCCAACACAATAATCCATACCGTTTATGAAGCTCGATGCGAAGTCGCTACACGTACGTCTTCGGGACTAACTAACGCTGTCATATTATCAACAAAATGGATCACTATTAATCAACTTCCTGTCACTACTTCAAGAGCAATGCGGAAGCCAAAATGGTATTGAAATATTGCGTACCTCGTTCAATGGGTATCGTCGGCATTGATGCACAGGGAACCATGATCATGGCCACCACTAGCCAATGTGCTGCAGGTCGGTTTGGTCGAAGCGTTCGTGGCAGTCTCATGCTTCTGAGCGGCGTGAAACTTTGAATGTCTTGAAGGAAGAGAATGATTTCCGTTTGGATTGCCATATTCTTTGATACATCAACTCGTTGCGAGTTTAGGTTATTATGTACGAGTAAATTGACAATTTTAATAACAATCCATTTTCGCCCTGTAGGAGTCAGTGAGGTGGATAAATATGCTCTGTATGAGTCAGTCAGCTGGATAAATATTTAACAACAAAAGCGTATATTAACACAGACGTGAGACATGTAGTCGCCCGGCAAATCATTTAAATTATCGAGAAAGAGAACGGAAATGAAACCGATAATAATTGAGAAAACCAAGTTGAGTACAAAAATTCCTTTACCCTCTCTTCAAACTACCTATAGAGCAATATTTGAGACCTTGTACCAAAGAAGAGGACAATTTGAACGGAACCATCGATGTAATAAAAATTACAGAAAGTATTTAACTTTTCGGAGCTATATAAATCAGGAACACTTGTTTGAGACATCTGATCACACGAGACATTTCGTGGCAAATTTCATTATTGACACATTTTGCATTGACAAATTTCGTCATTGACATATTTCATCACTATAGCAATTAATCACTGGACACTTCATCTTCATAGCAATTCATCATTGCATTATGTGCATTCTTGTAGGTGTAACCTAGCCTAAGCTTCGTGTTGGCCACCCAATGAACTTGTTCCTGTCCTGAACCTAAACCCCCAGGATGTTACGTGTATCATATCAGTGCCATTCATTATATGCAGAGCTGGGCAGCGCTACTTTGAAATGTAGCGGCCGCTACCGCTACCGCTACATGCTCTAAATGTAGCCGGCACTACCGCTACCGTTACACCCACTAGATTGTAGCGCCGCTATACCGCTGCTGGAAATGTAGCGGCCGCTATACATGTAGCGCGCAACTGCCCATTTCTGGTAACAACTAACATGTTGACACTAGTAACAGTCCGAGGTTGACAACATTACACCGAAATCTTTCGTACAGTTTTATTCTGTAATTTATATTATGTATGTACCGTGCTGGTTTTTAACTAATATTTAATACTATTAAGTAAAATCTAAAGGCTTTATCTATAAATGTAGTGGCAGCGCTGTAGCGGCAAAACCACGTATCGCTACTCAAATATGTAGCGGGCGCTACCGCTACTGAAAATGTAGCGGCCGCTACATGTAGCGCGCTACTGCCCACCTCTGAATTTATATGCTATCTAATTGTTTAGTATGTTGACTACTTAATAGTACCAACATGTACTTACGCTTGCAAAATGCACTTATGCAATGATGATATGTTATGGTGATGATATGGGAAATTATGTATTGTTATAGTGCTTAAATGTTTAATGATGGTTTGCTATAGTGATGAAATGTGTCAAAGATGAAATGTCTCGGGTGACGAGGTATCTGGTTTGAGACATATACCATATTTGGGACATATACCTCATTATAGTTAATAATTTATTGTCTATATAAATAAGTGAAGATATAATAAGACAGTGATTGACGTTTGAATCCATTTACGCAATCTAAAACAGCAATATTTACTTCTAAACCGTGTAATATAAAATAAAATAGCATTTACAAATTTACGTCTGAAAATTTTTTTTCCTCACCCAGTTTTTTTACTTAAAAGAAAATAAATTTACGAAAATACACTTGACAACCGTGACTATTCCTCAGCACTGACAACATTACACTATCGATGCGTATGCTGAACTAAATTCTGCCTAACAAACTTCTTATCAGATTAGACTTGCCGAGTGGTTACGGACGTTCGTACAAAGCTGTTCGGTGCGCACATGGATTCAATAAATGCTAATCACTGACTGCGTTGATACCCAATAAAATTCTTCAGTTAATCCATCTGTACTGGATCAATTTCTTTTTACGTATCATGTTGCAAGTCATTTACAGGTAATTAATGACAGCCGGCTGGCAACTTCGGTAACTTACGGCGGATTTAATAGCTGTGTCGTGGTTCGCTGTCAATATTTAGATGGCATTATCACTCAACGCACGTACTCTAAAATAGAATAAATTTCATTTCGTCCTAAAAATGTTCATCTTGAGATCGAGAGCGTATTTGTAAGCGCGTATTATGTGCCAGATTAGATAAAGAGGACGAGGTTTATATCAATCACATGGGTTCCCCGTGCATTAAATGCGGCCGGTTAAATTTTTATTAAAGCCATGGATAAAAATGCTTTTGAAGATGTTATCAGCGCCCTAAACGACAGGCTTGAGCGTTTTCAATTCATGAATCAGTATTACTCAGTAGTTATTTTAGGTACTCATTATCAGGTATTTTTTATTAGATGATTTACAATCAGATAATGTATCGTTTGTTTCTAGGAAGAATAATTCAACATGGCCTTTCAATTCTTCAACTTAAAATTAATGAAAGCTTTTTGCTACTAGAAAATTACACTATTAGAATAGGTACTTCTACTGTTTATAATGAAAGTAATGAATAATTGAAGAAGTGTTATCTTAAATGATTTCAGCCGTAGTGGAACGGTGACATTTGAATTCATTTCAGGACATTCGACGAGCTTGTCTTAATGTCAATTTTTATGGGGCATAGAGCCACACGCACATCATTCTTCATCAGTTGGACGACAGTTTGTCGCCATATGTCTTCAATTAATTGACTTTTTCATGTGTGTTTTCATGTATGGTATTAGAGTATCAAGATAAGTATTAAATTTACCATATTTATAGATATTGTTTTCGTTCTATTCCTATTCTAAATAAATATTTTCAGATTCAAGTAGTTAATAATATAGTCCGAGTTCAAGATCATCAATGATTTTTGCTGTCATAGTATAGTCAATAATATTATGAGGATCAGAAGAATTAGATTTATATGAGTTTAGTCATAATTTTGCAAGAATCATTAGAAATTAATTATCAATTTTGGCAGTCAAATCGGCTAAATTGTATAAACTTAACGCTTAATTATATTTTCCGGACCATATGGAGAAGTTTATTATATTCTAAGCCTAATTTATTTATTCTGGAGTTAGTCCTTCCTTTTCCGTCAATGTTTTCCCTATTAATGGCCTCTTGTAATTACAGCTTTGGTGGCAAATGACTTCAAGATTTGTGCGAAGCTTTATCTATACTGAAAAAATGAGAAAACTCTAGGATCATCTAACTTATAATTAAATTTTCATTCATCATGTAGCTATTGCATTTTGTTCGTCTGGAATAACAGCGACTCTGGTGGGGCCCGTCAGGCAGTTACTGAGACGCTGTAGATGCCCCCCTAATTTGTTGAATCGGAGTATCTCTTTGGTTTATGTTTAATTATTGCCTGCTTTGAATTCCTTGCCAATTATTTTGATACTTTCATCGTTATTACATAATACCTTTCCAAGTTTTTTACTTTAAAGTCTTATTTGTTTCTTTACAGTTGTGTTGGGCTAGGTCTAGGCGTCTGGTAATACGACGCTGTAGGTCTAGGCGTCTAGTACGTAATACGACGCTGTTTTCGAACTTCGCCGATTGTGTTTCGCCGATATATGCTTGATTGTCACCATTCTCTTAGTACTGGAAGTTTCGATGATTGACATGAAAAAATTGATTTTTTAACCTCCTATGTGTTCAGCGTAATACTTTATTGATGCTCCAACGTAATTCATTTAAATAAATTCCTTTAAGCAAGATTGGCACATTTCATTTAGTTGCATATTCATTCCAACTTAAAATATATCACAGTTAAATGTATTTAACGTAACTTCACTAATGGCCTAAGGAGTGTTTTTATCGCTCTCGGGAATTTTATAATTCCATCATTACCATGTAGTAAATCTGCAAAAATAGGTTTTTGTCCTCCAACTCAGAAAGCCAGTTGCAATTTGACAAATACTTCCAAAATACAAAGATATTTCCCTCTCCTTGTCTCTTGTTTATTGCTGTTCAAGATCTAAACACTTCAATGTGACGCTCATGCTTGTCGCCACCATCCCGTCATCCCCGTAACTGCAGATGAGCTCTGCCGCAGTCGCCTGCGTCGAGGCGCGGCAGCCGCAGTTGCCGCTGCTGCAGGAAGTCGCCCCGCACCAAAGGAGGTTCATCCCGCAGCTCGCGTCCCTTCATCTCATAGGACCAGGATAATTTCTTTGAAATACCATAGCCTGTAAAGTTGCACGAAATTAAACAAGGCGAATGATCATCTAAATTATATGCACGGAAAATGGAATAATTTCGGCTTGATATTTTAAGGTCATGGTAGCGAGACCTAAAAGCACTGGTCTTGAGGTCTCGCACCAGCATAGCAGTCGTAAATTAGCTGCGACTTAGCTCTAGTATAAGCTAGAGACCTCTCTACTCCAGCACTATACCTGCTCATTGCCGCCCGGTCACGCACTCTATATGACTTAGCTATTTTCCTAACAGTAATATTTTATAGCAATGGTTTCAGTTCCTGTTATACTCACTCGCCGGTGCGAAGAGAACTTTGGTATCTTCAAAGAAATTTATTAATTAGAAATATGAGTCGGGATTACAATACCGGTCCTGAAAATCCCAAGAGCTATATATTAATCATTTACGAACTATAATTATAACCCACTGTTTAGTTATGAGAAATTTAAAATAAGAATCACCTTCAACAGAGCAGACTAAGCTCAGGCGTTGTCCTCGAGTTATTTCAATGCTCGGCCCAAGAAATGATCCGTCCTCCGATGTGATGCTCATCGCTGTGGGGGGCAAGTCGTTTGAAATATCGCACATAATTAAACAAAGATAGGCTGGAACACACTTGCTTCTGATCTGTCAATACGAATGGATGTTCAGTGAAGTTAGAATTTTTAATTTATCTCATGAAATTAAATTCACAAATGCTATTAAATTTAAAGGATGCATCGAATGAAGACTTACCTGGAACCACCGAGGAAGCAACAGTTGTTGTAAGTATCACCAAAGTAACGCTAAACAGGGCATACATAATGAATGTATGTGCGGGAGTATATACTGCTGCCTAACCCGTTCAAGGGATCCACCTCGACTAAAAAAAAAGAAAGTTGGAGTTCTTGAACTGATAAGAATCTTAAACGTGTGAGCTGATAAGAATCTGATCAGATTAATTTTATTGCTAAATTGTATTTCAAAGGTGTAAATTCATAACTCGTTATCTGCATATAGACATGATAATCCGTTACTTATGTGCCTTTCATCGAGAAATTTAATAATCAAAGAGATAGCTTATCCTTGATGTGTCTAAGCTCTCAGCATGAGGCACAATTCTTGGAAATGATATGGAAAATCGTTGGTTAGTGATTAATGCACAAATTGATGCATTAAGGAAATTATTTATTCTGATAAATTTATTTCATTTGAACAGTTACTGACGCAGAATGTGACAAATCCTTGCTAACAAATGCATCAATACTTATTTGAAGAGTGTGAATAAAAGATCAAACAAAAATGCGGCGACGTAGTGCTGCGCTGTGGCAAAACTGGCAACACGACCAGGCAACACGATTCATAACAAATTAATGCAGTAGGTAAAAATATTATATGAAAGATTAATATCTTTTGGGATTGTCAGGGCCGGTTTTGTGATCCGACTTATTTTTTTAATTAATAAATGTCTTTGAGGGTACCAAGTTCGCTTTGCAGCGGTGAGTGACGTTGTATCAGGAAATGAAACCGCTCTTATGTAAAATTACTGTTAGGAAAGTAGCAAAATCACATAGAGTTCGGGACGAGGCGGAAATGAGCGAGTATAATGCAGTAGAGGTCTCTAGCTTATACTGGGGCTAAGTCGCAGCTAATCTACGACTACTGGTACGAGACCTCAAGACCAGCGCTTCACTCTCGCTACCATGACCTTAAAATATTAAGCCGAAATTATTCCATCTTTCGCGCATTTAATTTAGATGATCATTCGCCTTGTTTAATTTCCTGCAACTTTACAGGCTATGGTATTTCAAAGAAATTATTCTGGTCTTGTGAGATGAAAGGACGCGAACTGCGGGATGAACCTCCTTTGGTGCGGGACGACTTCCTGCAGCAGCGGCAACTGCGGCTGCCGCGCCTCGACGCAGGCGACTGCGGCAGAGCTCATCTGCAGTTACGGGGATGACGGGATGATGGCGACCAGCATGAGCGTCACATTGAAGTGTTCAGAAGATGGTGAACTGCAGTGAACAATAGACAATTAAGGAGAGGGAAAAGATCTATGTATTTTGGAAGCATTTGTCGAATCACAACTCGCTCTTTGAGTTGAAGGCTAATAATTGTCTCTTTTAAAAAATTGTTCCTGCAATAAGTAGAAAATTTTGCCAAGGTCTGCCAAAATTGATACATAATTTCGAATGATAAATGTGAAATTATGACCAAACTTCGTTAAATCTAATTCTTGAGATCCTCTCAATTAATATCAGTATACTATGGATAGCCTAACTGCCAGCAAAAATCACAGATGATCTTCTCCTTAAAACCTCGGACTATTTTATTAAATAGTTGACCCTGAAAATATTTATTTGGAATGGAAATAGAACAATAACAATAAACAATATAGAACACTCTATATATATGATAAATATAATACTTACCTGGATACTTTAATACTCTGGAAGAGAACACGCATGAGAAAGTCATTTAATTAGAAACCATTTAACAACAAACTGTCATCCAACTGACGAAGAATGATCTGCGTGTGGTTTTCTGTCCCATAAGAATTCACAAGACAAGCTCGACTGATGTCCAGATATGAATCCAACTGTCACCGTTCAACTACGGCTGAAATCATTTAAGACGTACTCAATTATTCATTACTTTCATTATAAACAGTAGATGGACCTAATCTAGTATTGTAATTTTCTAGTAGCAAAAAGCTTTCATTAACTCTACGTTGAAGAATTGAAAGGCTGTCCGCAGATCCTCTTCCTAGACACAAATGATACATTATCTGATTGTAAATCATTCAAGACAAAATACCTCATAATAAGTGCCTAAAAAAAAAAGAACTACTGAGTAATACTGATTCACGAATTGAAAACGCTCAAGTCTGTCAGTTAGGGCGCTGATAACGTTTTTAAAGCATTCCTATCTTTAGCTTTAATAAAAATTAACAGGCCGCATTTAATACACGGCGAACTCTTCTGCTATAAGCAAAGTCCTCTATTATTTAATCTGGCTCATAATACGCGTTTACATATACGCTCTCGATCTCAAGATGAACTTTTTTAGGACAAAATAAAATTCATTGTATGTTAGAGTACGCGCGTTGAGTGATCATCCAACTGACAGCGAACCACGACATTGCTATTAAATCCCCCGGGAGTAACCGTAGTTGCCAGCCGGCAATGTCATTAATTACCTGAATAAGACTCACAACATGATACGTAAAATGAAATTGATCCAAGACAGTTGGATTAACTGAGAAATTCATTTAAATTATGCGCAGGCAGTGATGCCTGAACGTTCCTTAAATCCATGTGCGCACTGAGCAGCTTTGTATATGAACTTCCGTAATACTCTGCAACTTGAAGTCTTATCTGTTGATAAGAAGTTAGTTAGTTAGCAAGAAGTTAGTTCAGCAAACGCAGCGATAGTGTGACGTTGTCAGTGCTGAGGAGCATTCACGGTTGTCAATTGCATTAATTGTAGCAAATTTATTTCCTTGTGCAAAAATTCAACTGGGCGAAGGAAAAGAAGATTCCAGACGTAAATTTGTAGATACTGTTTTTTTTATTTATAATACACGGATGAGTAGTAAATATTGCAGTTTTTGATTGAGTTCAATAGGTTCAAACGTCAATCACTGTCTTACGATAGCTTAACTTACTCGTATTTGTTTAGTCAATAAATTAGAGACTAGGATAAGGAATATGTTTCAACGGTGGCCAGACACCTCGTCATACGAGACATTTCATCTTCGAAACGTTTCACCTCTGACACATTTCAACTTTGACTCATCTCACCTGTGACACACTTCATCACTATAGCAATTCAACATTAAACATTTCACCACTTTACAGTTTTTCATCATTAAATAATTCAGCATCATAGCGTTTCATCATCAATCATATCAGCACTAAAGCAAATCATCTTTCAACATATCAGCATTATAGCAAATCATCATTAAACATTTAATCACTATCGCAATCCATCATTGCCATCCATAAGTATTATCATTGCATAAAGTGCTTTTTGCAAGCATAAGTACATGTAGGTGCTATTAGGTAATTAACATTCCGAACAATTAGATAGCATATAATGAATGACACTGAAATGATTTACGTAACATCCTGGAGTTAGGTTCAGGACAGCAACAAGTTCATTTGCTGACCAATACAAAGGTTGGGTTCCACCTACATGTACTTATGTTTGTGAAATGAACTTTTTGCAATGATGAAATGTGTCAATGATGAAATATGTTAATGATGAATTGTGTCAGTGATGAAATGAATCAGTGATGAAATGTGCCAATGATGAAATGAGTCAATGATGAAATGTGTCAATAATGATATGTGCCAATGATGAAATGTGCCAATGATGATATGTGTCAATGATGAAATGTGCCAATGATGATATGTGTAATGATGAAATGTGCCAATGATGAAATGTTTCAATGAAGAAATGTGTCAATAATGATACGTGCCAATGATGAAATGTGCCAATGATGATATGTGTAATAATGAAATGTGTCAATGATGAAATGTGTCAATGAAGAAATGTGTCAATAATGATATGTGTCAATGATGATATGTGTCAATGATGATATGTGTCAATGATGATATGTGTCAATGATGAAATGTGCCAATGATGATATGTGTAATGATGAAATGTGCCAATGATGAAATGTGTCAATGAAGAAATGTGTCAATAATGATATGCGCCAATGATGAAATGTGTCAATGTTGAAATTTGCCTATGATGAAATGTGTCAATGATGAAATGTGCCAATGATGAAATGTGTCATGAAATATCAGAGAACCGTCTCAAACAACTGTTCCTGATTTATAGTTCCGAAAAGTTGAACATTTTCCGTCATTTCTATTGGATAGTGAATGAATGCCGAGCTTCATGTCATTGAAAAAATAATTTTCGTTATAAAATAAGAGATTTATTGATTCATTCATTATCTGTTTTCATAGTACATAGTAACTCGACATGTGTCATATTACTATTTTCAAAATGTTTGCAGACAGGATTCAAAAGGGTGTGTTGAAAGCTGGAAAGAAATACCTGGACAATTCAAGAAAGATTTTTATAAAGCATAAGTACTGTAGACGTAGGTTTTTTCTATACCCGAAAAGTTTTCCAAAGTATTGGAATTTCTTCGTGATTCATATTTATGCACTTCAATATGAAGTATTTTTTAATAACGTATGCAATTCTTTTGCAGTTTAGTTCGTTGGTTGAGTTTGCCTCAAACACCAACCTTAAAATGATGAAGTCGTTACTTGTTGCTTTTCTCTTGTTCTTGTCACCATCACCTAGCGCACAATCAGCAATTCCGAGTAAGTATTGATATACATGTGCTTATCATTGGGGCGTAATTTTATTCTTTTATTAGATACCCTTTGCAATTGCACCATTTTATAGTCTCACTGAAAACGTCACTTGAACGAGAACTAACTAACAAGTTTCATTATATGTGATATATATGAAGTGGATGATTCCATGCTATACTGGGGCTGTAATATATAAGGACTCTACAATTATCTTTCAGGATCGTTTAGGTTCAGTGGGTTATCTATTTAAAACACTTTATTGTACATCTATTATGGAAAAAAGCAAAGTGAGTAATTCACGCGCTAAAGAGTTTAGTGGGGAATAAGCACTTACGAATGTGTACATCGTTAGTTGTATCTTCTATCTTGATCTATGCTATAGATCAAGGTAGAAGTAAAAAAAAAGAACCATATAAAAGTTGGTAAATTTCTAAAAAAATTGTAAACTAATCAAAATAGACATATCAGTAAACACAAAATCTAAGTATTCATCATATATATTCACAATCTTCATTTACATATTCGCATTGAATCCTCGCAAAGCACATGCCATCGCTCCAGCTTTCCTCAACACAATAACAGTGCAAAATTTTGTATGAAAATATGTTATGCAACAATTATCACGCCTCATAATAATACATTTATAATACTAATACATCACATTCATACATTCATTCATACTAATACATTCATTCTCTTGCAAGGTTAGCATTACTCATGAAGATATCCTTTTCTTTGAAACCCAGACGCAGAAATGAGCATCACGAAGGAAGATGGCAGCAGCGTTGGACCAAACATAGAAATGCAGCCGGGACAAGGCATGAACCTCACCTGCACGATACAAGGTTCTGCAAAAAATATAGCCAGTTTTGCGTTGGGACATGTAGGGAAAAATTTCACAGTAGTCCAATTAATGTCCTCAGACAAGAACTATCTTGGCTGATTGCATGTAACAACATTGAGAATTGATTCTATATAATTTTGTCATGGAGGCAATAAAAAATTCTGAAGCTGTAAACCGAAATTCGTACCAATTTAGCTCACTTGAAGATAAGTTTCAATGACTCGCAGGTTATGGACTCTCGCTTGACTTACTTTGGTATGAAGAAGGGCAAGAGCTGAGCCATCAGACTAGCATCAAACGAAGCGACTTCGCTCAGCAGCAACAACTGGAACTGACCTACAGCGATGACTGCAACCGCAAATTAACATGCATTTATGGCGATGAAGATGAAGTTCAGTATTCCAAGAGCACCACTATAAAGTGTCCAGGTGAGCGCGAATGAAGATGAAACAAAGGAAAAAGTCTGTAGTAAAATTGATGTGATCATTTTCAATTAATAGATGAAAGTTAATCATAATGGAGTGTTTCATCAGAAGTGGACCAAGTATTTTTTCATCAATTTAATACGAGCATTGTTTCGAATAAAATATGAATACTTCGAGAGATATAAGTATTAAAATCACTTGTTTGCTTAAATCGCAAGTTAACTAGGAATTTAAAAGCAAAAACAATACCACAAAAATTCTCCATATCTTTATAAGAGAAAACGTTTCGGAGTCCAGCTCCATCGTCAGTTCACAAATTCAGTTCAGAAGAAGTTCAGATCTAGAAACAAAAATACAATCAATTAGTAGAGTAGAAGGCACTGTTAGGTTTTAAAACGGAGAATAAATAAATAAGACATGAAATTAACGCTAGTAAACGGCCTATCTATTTGCTATTTCAAGAGGAACGGAGCTAAAAGCGGCATTTAGACTAGGCTTCTGCTTGAATATATATAGAGATTCCAAAATGCGTAGATCAGTAACACCGGATGCGGAAGCTAGAATTTTAAAATCATTATCGGATACAGAGGTGTTGCACTGCTCAGCATGAATACGTACAGCAGAATGAGGTGGATGTGCAAGTAGGTTCCCCGTCCTATAACTCCTGCCCTTATCCAATCAAAATACGGTGAAGATGAATACCGCTGTTTTAGAAAATATTGTGACCTACTCCGGAAAGCTGCGAAGACTTCATTGGACATAAATTTTTTAGTGAAGTGCAAAGTGTACGGTGTAATACCCAAGTTTCTGAGGTTTAGACTTTACAAACGTTGCCTTCATACATCTTCATTTTACAAGTCATGGCAGAGCAAGCTCCTTTCCAGGGAATTATCTTCCAAGAAGAAGGCCTTTAGAGTTTTAACTGACTTGGTCACCGTAAGTGAGGCACAAATTGGACGTGTATTTTCTATTCTCGATGCATTTGCTATCCGTCAACATGCCAGACGTCAAACTGAAGCATTCAAGAAAACTACCCACCAGACCCATCAGAAGAAACTTGATAACTTAGGTATTCATAATGAAATTCATCCGTGTAACCCCGATGAAGTCGTTTTCAACTACAGTTCATTCAGCCTGGAACCTCGAACTAAGTTCTTGCTCGCATTTGGGCTTGATTTCTGTCTGCCTGTTTTTAAATTGGATTTCTATAAGTTCTTTTTAGCTTTTGAAAGACTTGCTCTTAGCATAAGAAATGTTTCCATTACCAACCGTCAGGAATTTCTTGGTAACTTACAAAGTTTAGCTTACCGTAATTTTTATGGTTTTAAATCTTAAAAAATTTTCTCATCTGTTTTTCAGCCGCTTGATTTCCTTTTATTGAAAGACTTGGCCAAAAATAAGGATCTTGTCATTTGTAAGCCAGATAAGGGTAAAGGAGTAGTATTAGTCGATCGCAATCGGTATAACAGTAGCCTTTCTAATTTAATCTCTGACCCTTCAAAATTTAAAGAAATTACTGAGCCAATCACTAAAATAGTTTTGAAGATAGAGGACAAAATTAATAATTTATTACGAAAACTTAAAGATTCCGCTGTACTATCACCTGAAACGTACTCTCAATTTCATGTTTCTGGCTCTGGCCCCGGTATTTTGTATGGTTTGCCCAAAATTCATAAACCAGATTTCAATGTGAAATTTCAATTCCGCCCAATTTTTGCTGCTTATAATACCCCTAGTTTCAAACTTGCGAAATTTTTGGTTCCACTTTTGAACTGTCTAATGACAAACCAATATACTGTGGATAATACTTATAGTTTCGTAGATCGCCTGAAGAGTTTTAAAAATGTTCAGGAATTGACTATGGCCTCTTTTGATGTAGAAAATTTATTCACTAATATTTCTCTTTCTGAAACCATCGATATATGTCTTAATTCATTGTTTAAAGATGTCAATGACCTTGTCATGGGTTTTAACCGCAATTTTTTCAAATCTCTTCTTGAATTATCTGTGCTAAACTCAATTTTTCTATTTGCTGGCAAGTTTTACAGACAAATTGACGGTTTGGGCATGGGGCTTCCACTCGGCCCTACCTTTGCCAATATATTCATGTGTTTTCACGAGGCTAACTGGTTGGCCAATTGTCCTCTGGATTTTAAGCCAATTTTATATAACCGATATGTTGATGATACTTTTTTGATTTTTAGGCATCCTTCACATGTGGGCCTGTTCTTTGACTATCTTAATCTCCAACATAAATCTATCAAATTCACCATGGAGATTGAATCAAACAATAGCTTGTCATTCCTTGATTGCAAAGTTACCAAATCTGATGGCCGTTTCCAAACTTCTGTTTTTAGAAAATCGACCTTTACCGGCTTAAGCACCAGCTTTTTTAGCTTTTGTTCCTTTCGCTTCAAATTAAATGGGATCCAAACATTGATAAACCGCGGCTTTCGCATTTGCTCTACTTTCCTAGCCATGCACTCTGAATTTGAATTGTTGCGCAATATCTTTTCACAAAATGGCTTTCCATCGCACCTGGTGTTTACCCAAATTAAGAAGTTTATGTCCAAAAAATATACTGCAGTTGTTCCCAAGTATGACAATAGGAAAGTTGTTTACTGTTCTTTTCCCTACTTTGGCCCCGCATCTGAAGCTATGTCAAAGGAATTAAAAGTTTTATTTGCTAAATATCTTCCGGATGTAAATCTTCATGTGTTGCTAGTTAACAATTTTAGAATCAGCTCGTTTTTCAGGTTTAAGGATACCCTACCTGTTCTTATGCGATCGTCACTAGTTTACAGATATAGTTGTGCGCAGTGCGCATCAGCGTACGTCGGTATGACGTCACGCAATTTCTATACTAGGTTGGCTGAGCATAAGGGCAGGAGTTATAGGACGGGGAACCTACTTGCACATCCACCTCATTCTGCTGTACGTATTCATGCTGAGCAGTGCAACACCTCTGTATCCGATAATGATTTTAAAATTCTAGCTTCCGCATCCGGTGTTACTGATCTACGCATTTCGGAATCTATATATATATTCAAGCAGAAGCCTAGTCTAAATGCCGCTTTTAGCTCCATTCCTCTTGAAATAGCAAATAGATAGGCCGTTTACTAGCGTTAATTTCATGTCTTATTTATTTATTCTCCGTTTTAAAACCTAACAGTGCCTTTTACTCTACTAATTGATTGTATTTTTATTTCTAGATCTGAACTTCTTCTGAACTGAATTTTGTCAACTGACGATGGAGCTGGACTCCGAAACGTTTTCTCTTAAAAAGATATGGTGAATTTTTGTGGTATTGTTTTTGCTTTTAAATTCCTACTTCGAGAGAATTATAAGGAAATTCATCATTTTTTTTAAGTTACCATAATAATTTTCGCCAAATAACCATTCCAGCTTTCATGAGTGGAAGGAAGAATAACTCAGAACATTTGTGTAGAACATTGGACGAAAGGAGCAGAAATTCCGTAAATTAACAATCGCTCAGTTCCTGCGTAAATTAAGCAGAAAAAAGTTTCAGCCCAAGTTGAATCAGCCCGAGTTGAATCAGATAGCCCGAGTTGAATCAGCCCGATTTGAATCAGCCCGAATTAAATCAGCCCGAGTTGAATCAGCTAGCCCGAGTTGAATCAGCCCAGTTTACATCTAGTCTCCAACATTGATGTGAGATAAACAATTAAAGACAAGATCCAAGGATGCTTCGAATGGTTGTTATTTGATAAGGCAATTCAAAATTTACAGCCACAAATATTTCTAGAAGAGTCTCAATTCGCTCATAATTTTTCGTAAAGTTTGTGAACTTTATCCAATCCAATTTTTTCTCATTGATGAGGCCCCACTCCCGAAAAAAAATCAAGAAATTTTTATCATACAGAGGATAGTGCTTTATAAAAAATTCATCTCCGGTATTTATATAAAGAGGTGGTATTAATATATATCTTGTCAATAATAAATGTGACTATATTATCGTCACTGATAATCAGGTAAAGGAATAAGCGTCACGTTGGCGGATGAAACGACCGTGAGCTCCAACGTTGAAGGTAAACTCGGACAGAGCCTGAGCCTCGACTGCAACATGCCTGGTGTGTTGATTGAAGTGTTGTCTGAGCTACAAAGATTTAATAGTTTAATGCGTTATATAACTAGTGCAATTATATTTTGAGTCCTATATCTCATGAGTATTTTGACAATGAATGTTTCAAATTACTCAATATTGTCGTTATAGAAGAAATATAATAGTAGTAATTAGAGCATAGTCACAAATAATACTTGAATTGATTTATGATAACGGTAACAGATTAAGATTATCAACAGATCATCATGACCTCAAGCAATTGAGCGAAGAAGACTTCGGCCGCGGATTAATGTGCAGATATGGCGACCATGAGCAATGGAGTATCACCCTTAATTGTCAAAGTAAATTATGCTTTTTAATTAAAAAAGTAAATAATTCTTATCATTAACGGTTTAAAAATTTGGCATGGATTTAAAGGAATTTAAAGGCAAATTTCAATGTTGCATATTGAATAAATTGGGATCCTGCTATTGCCAGCAGTATTACAGGGTGTTTCTAAACATCTGCTTGAGAAAAATGTTCATCATATAACTCTCGATGTCTGCTAATTGAAACTTATTCATTTTCCTTCGCAACCTAATTCCGTTCATTTGTGTTCTTGTATTTGTATTAATTTTAACATCGTTCAGATAAGAATTCTAGTGCTTAAATAGTAAGTTTTTATTCGATGATACATGTTTCCGGCTTATTCTCACATTTCTTCGAAAAGTTCGACTTAAGGTGGTGCTTGAAAGCCGCGAGCTCTCAGGCAGGCTTGGCTGAATCCCTATGGGAATCTATCACTACGTATAGTCATTGTAACTCCGCTCGTAAATGAAATATCAATCTAAATTTTTTCATGCTCATTCAGCTATTTATTTACAATTTCTCTACAGTAACAAAAAATATGTATATTTTGTCTAGCATTAGTTATGATAGAGGAAAATGTTGTACATCGCTCAATCAATATGTTCATTATACTATGCGACTTACCTAATTTTGTGAGACACAAGGATATAGTACTATTTATTCTCTATTGATCGGTATTAAAGACATATCTAAATCAACCTCTATTTTGTAGATATTTTGTAACAAAATATTTTTTCATTATTGCTAAATCAGAGATTTCACATTTTCTTTGGAAGCCGCAGTTCTCATGAAGGAGTTGGGGAAAAAATGAGGGGAAACACACCTCGTAAATTACCCGCCTGTCACTCTTGTGGTGAAGGGGAGCACAATAAGGGGCGAGTAATAATGGTTGGCCAGTGGTCTGGCCTCGGCCAGTTAGTTTTAGTCACCGCAGGCCATTCCTCGGCCACCTAAGAGACGGCCGCAGCCCCTTAGATGGGTGCTGGCTCAGGTATCATATTACAAAGGCAACAAGCTCGAGCGCAGCAACTTGCCGATCTGAACACAGAACAAGGGTTTCACATCCTTGTCGCGAATTTCTCGCTCACGGACTTCGCCGCACTGTGACTACAGGCCTTAAGGCCCTGATTGAGAGTCGAGCGAAGTCTGAGAGCGAGGTTTTCGCGACCATCGTGTAAAATCCTTGATCTGCCCGAAGCTCGGCCAGTCGCTACCCTCGAGCTTGTACTCTTTGTAATATGATATCCTAGCCAGACCCTTTCTCGCGGCAACTGGTCGCTTTCAGGTGGCCGAGGAATCGCCAACGGTCGGCTATAACTAATTGGATAGGCCGATCACTGGCCACGTATTATTCTTCGCCCCTCATTGAGTTCCCGGCACCATACCGCCCGTCGTGAACTGACAATCGAGTAATTTACGACGTCTCTTTCCCCTCAAACTTTGCACAACGCCTCTATTTGAGCAGCTAGTATGCGGGATTTTCCCTCCGTGTATCAGCAGGCTCGATTATAACTATTTTTTGAAAAAGAATATTTACAACAAGGAGGCTGATCAAGGAATGCCGAGTATACCATTCAATGGAAAATAAAAATTACAACCCGTTTACATCTCGGAAAAAGTAAAAAAGTCGCAGACTTGACGAACAGTAATATTCAAAGTTTCTTGAAATTTCATCTCATTAAAACTCTTTTAATAAAAAGTTTACATAGTTTTTGTTACTGGTCGCCGCTTATAAATAAATAGCTGGGTAAGCATGGAAAAATCCATATTGCCATCTCATTTACGAGTGGAGTAAAGTCTATCCTAATTAGTGAAGAAACGCATAGGGAAGAGCCGAGCCTGTTCGAAGTCTCGCGGTTGGTATATTGGATATATTGGTAATAAACATGTGGTGAGAAGCTCATTACTCTTATATCAGGATGGATTTTTACACATGTTTTTTGCAGTAATTTTATGGAACTTGCAAACTATGTATGATTGTAGATGGCAGCAATAAGAAATGTTGATTGTTTAGGCAAACCTGTTATATTATTTTTTTACGAGGCTATGATCTAAACTCGCGTGAATTACCTCTCTCCTCCCAAGACTCGCCGGGCGGACCAGCATCTGCTACCCAGTCACCTCGAGAAGCAGTCGACCGCTGCCATGATACCCTGGAGTTTTTTAAATCATTTAACGTCTTTCTTATATCGATTATTCTCATCGCGATCATAGTCTACTGTGCACGCAAAATATACAAATACAAAGAAAATAGAGAAGACAAGAGTCACAGTGAAAAGGATGAAAAAGAGCAAGGCAGTGCCACGAATCTGTTACAAGGAACTAGCAAGTCAATTAAAAAATGGGAATTTTGTGAATATTTCCCGTTCACCGGAGTTATTCACCAACTGCGCAAATGCAGTTGGCCAATAAAAGGTACACACGGCCAAAAGTACACAAAACCTTGAACTGCTGCATTGCAACACTTTTGGTGCGCCGCAAACTGTTGATTTTCAATCATCTTATTTATGTATTAATTTTTTTAATTAATTTTTAATTTAATTAATTAATTAATTTAATTAATTAATTTAATTTTAATTTCATTTTTTTCTGTTTCATTGACCCTATTCGATCATGTAGGGCTTTGTAGGCCAATTTAAGTTGGTGTATCAGTGACCATCAAATATTAAAGGCATCAAATGCCGATAACAGAAATGCACGGGGGGGGGGGCAACGGCTCAAAACTTTTAAGAAATGTGATATATTTCATTACGCTCCTCCGAAAAGTTGTATAATAAAAATCAACTCAAGTTTCATTAACAATTTACGGGAGATTGAGTAAGGGGTCGTGGTTTTTCGATAATTTTAAGTTTTAAACAAATCTTTATACCAGTAATAAACGTCGTTTGCTGAGATTATTCACCGTTATCATTTGTTCCCAAAGATGTTTATCTGCTATTGTTTCCTTCACTCATTATGAGAGTTTATTAGCACAAATAATTGTGAGATGATACAACTCGTATATTAAAGAGCGAGGCAAATTATATTATTCAATAAACTTTTATACTATAATTGTTTAGTAAAATGTACATGAAACAGTTTCACGAAGATAAATGCCTGGCGTACTTCGGAAAAATACGAAATATAATTTATAAAAAACAATTATGCGCAGTTAGAAAACCTCTCAACGCTTGGACAGATTGATTGTATGAATCTAATTAATTCATCATTATTTTTATGTTGCAACAATCTCTATCGTAATACTTGAATGATGACAAATCGTTACACAACAGATCTGTTCAAGCAGACCAAAGTTGGAGTCTAGGTCAACTGATAACGCGAATGCATTCTTCCAAAAAATAACTAATTCTGTCACTTAACTTCATGGATCATTCATGGACAATAAAACTTGAGCAATAAACTTTTCAGATATCCAAGTGTCTTGCTTTACGGGAGCGTAGACCGTATTAGGACTTATAAAGAAACTCGTGCAAAGAACGAGATGGAAACACTGCATGGGCAGTCTGGGCGTCGCTACGATGGCTGAATATAGTATAATATAGTTAGGCAGAGCCTACTTTTCTGTTCAAGTCTTGTGCGCAATTAATCTAATACAAAGTTCATGTTTTTCGAAATAATGTATGTTATACGTTTTTATTATGATTTTAAGTGAATTTACGCGCAAGTTAAGGCAGGTTAGGATAATCTGCGGCTCGACACTATACTTTTTGAATGATCAATTGCATTCGAGTGAATGTAATGTAAATAATTGTAACGTAACACTGATACGACGCAGAAGAGAGTCGCATAACACTCATACGGTGCAGAAGAGAGTAGTATAACATTCATACGGTGCAGAAGAGAATCGTATAACACTCATACGGTGCAGAAGAGAGTCGTATAACACTCATACGGTGCAGAAGAGAGTCGAATAACACTCATACGGTGCAGAAGATTGTCGTATAACACTCATACGATGCAGAAGAGAGTCGTATAGTATAGTATAGTATCTTCGGCATTAAAGAATAGGCCTGGATAGGCCTGTCGCCGATTCTTGTACTTTTCTTGACTAGACTGGCCTTTTGATCAGATCTTTTCAACGGACGGTATAGGTTTAAAATGTTTCTAGATTTCAGTTGTTCCGTAGGATACGAGGCATTTTGGGAAGCTTCATAATCTTCAATCTTTCTTCATAAGACTTGCCCTTTAATCCTGGAATTATCCTTGTTGCACGTCTTTGTACACTCTCAACTAAATTTTTGTCATTTTCAAGTCTCGGTGACCACACGTTTCCAAACTCTAGGTTCGGGCGCACGACAGAGGTGAACAGCTTCATCATTTCTATATCTAGGTACTCGTAGGAGCGTCTGATCAGCCCAAGCAGTTTATTGGATGTATTAACTTGCGTTTCATATGCCTATAAAATTTTAGCTCCTTGTCGACACAAACTCCAAGATCTTTTTCCACGCAACACTTCTCGATCATAACCCTCTCGTTGCAACCGTGTCTTCTCATGCTGTAAGTTTGCTGTTCATTGTTCTTGCCGAGGTGAAGTACTTTACACTTGTCAAAATTGAAACGCAGCTGCCACGCATCAGCCCAGTCAACTAAACTATCAAGATCATTTTGCAGTTGCATTTTATTTGATGCATCCTTAACTGTATTATAAACTTTTGTGTCATCGGCATACATGGAGCAAACGGTTGACACAACTTCTGGTAGATCATTTATAAAAGCGACGAACAAAACAGGTCCAAGAGCGCTTCCTGGCGGTACACCACTGCGCACAGTTACCCATTCTGATACGGTTCCGTTAATGCTGACACGTTGTTTTCTGCCTACTAGGAAATTCCTGATCCATTGGAGTACATTTCCCTCTATTCCCAAAGAATTCACTTTACGTAACAGTTGCTCATGCGGAACACTATCAAATGCCTTGGCAAAATCGAGCTATAGTGCATCCACTGGCACCATTTCGTCCAGCAGGAGAGTCTAATTATTCAAGGTAGACAGGAGATTAGTGGTGCATGATCTGCCAGCAATAAAGCCATGCTGACAGTCTGATAGAAGATGGTTAACAGTCAAGCGATCGATAATCCTATCCCTCATAACCGATTCCATCACTTAACACACAACACTTGTGAGACTTACAGGCAGAGCTTGGCAGCGCTACTTTGAAATGTAGCGCCGCTACCGCTACCGCTACATGCTCTAAATGTAGCGGGCGCTACCGCTACCGCTACATGCTCTAAATGTAGCGGGCGCTACCGCTACCGCTACATCCACTAGATTGTAACGGGCGCTACCGCTACCGCTACAGTAAAATGTAGCGCGCTACATTAGCCGCTACAATGGCCAAAATTATTAGTAATCTCTTAATATTTATTGTTCTGCTATTGGGATTTACTCATAAACATTAAATGAGAATAAAACATTTTCAAAACATATCAATTCAACTTTATTGCAATTAACCTAACCAAACTAGTACTGGTTACTGTGGTTAGACACAGTAAATAGAAGTTAGTTATTTACTTTTTTTATGTTTTACCTTCCCTACATGGATGTCTACTTTAATCTACCAATCTCAAAATGTAACCACATATATATACAAATAAAAAGACTGATTTTTTATATATAGATTCAAGTAGACATCTATGTAGGGATTAGGGAAGGTGAAACATAAAAATAACTGTAAAAATAACTGTAAGCAAACAGAAACATGAAAAAATACCTGTAAGTGGTAGCTGGTAACAACTTAAGGGGGGCGTCTACCCTAAAGTTTTCGGATTTGGATTTTCCGGTTTTTAGTCTCATCTTAAAGCTGACACTCTGCCCTATCCAATGGTACCATTACCATCTCTGTACGTTGATTTATGCGTTCACGACAGATCATGAAAGGGGGGGGGTGGGGGAGTTCTTTAACAAATAGAATAGGAGGAAATTCGCTGCGAGCACTTTAAATAGAGTGTCGGCTTGAGGTGCACCTTAGTTAACCCCCGCCTGGCGTCGTATGAGGAGGTGTGCATGCAGTCACTCCCACCATCCTTGACTGGAATCAATCTCCTATAAAGTTTTGTTTTGTATCTTTACAACATTGAGTGCCTATTGCGATGCGCTCGGGGCTTTGTCGCGCTCTCCTGAACATTCTTCACACTTATTGCCACGGCAAACCTATCTCCTCCTAGAGTTTTGAAGCTACAGCTATGAGACATATACCATTCGATTCGTAAGGACCATACCTATCGAGTTATCGTGCCTTTTTTAGATTTGTGCATTGTTTGGATTCAAAATGAGGGGGAGGAGGGAAAATTTGAAGAAAATGAGAAGAAAACGGAAAAATGCGTGTAAAAAATTTAAGGCAAAAATCGAAAAGAGGCTCGATAACTCGATAGGTATGGTCTTTACGCATCGAATGGTATGCGTCTGAATGTTGTAGCTTGAAAACCCTAGGTCTCTGCAGTACCCCTTTTTGTCCGTTTTCTATAAATTTCACGTTTTCTATTAATTTTTCCGAAAAAATCATACGAACAAAATGTTCTTGTAATTTGGTTTTACATATATGTGTGAAATTTCAGAAAGATCTGTTAGTAAATGTGGAAGTTTTTCCGGAGGGTATACCCCCCCTTAAGTAAAATCTATAGGCTTTAGCTATAAATGTAGCGGTAGCGCTGTAGCGGCAAAACCTCGTATCGCTACTTAAATATGTAGCGGGCGCTACCGCTACAGCTACATTGCCGTAAATGTAGTGCCGCTACCGCTACCGCTACTGAAAATGTAGCGCGCTACTGCCCAGCTCTGCTTACAGGACGGTAGTTGCCTGGGTTACTTCTGTCACCTTTTTTGAACAGGGGTGTCGCTTGGGCTTCTTTCCAGTCGGCCGGCAAAGTCCCTCCGATTAAGGCCTGTAGTCACAGTGCGGCGAAGTCCGTGAGCGAGAAATTCGCGACAAGGATGTGGAACCCTTGTTCTGTGTTCTGATCGGCAAGTTGCTGCGCTCGAGCTTGTTGCCTTTGTAATATGATACCTGAGCCAGCACCCATCTAAGGGGCTGCGGTCGTCTCTTAGGTGGCCGAGGAATGGCCTGCGGTGACTAAAACTAACTGGCCGAGGCCAGACCACTGGCCAACCATTATTACTCGCCCCTTATTGTGCTCCCCTTCACCACAAGTGTGACAGGCGGGTAATTTACGAGGTGTGTTTCCCCTCATTTTTTCCCCAACTCCTTCATGAGAACTGCGGCTTCCAAAGAAAATGTGAAATCTCCGATTTAGCAGTAATGAAAAAACATTTTGTTACAAAATATTTACAAAATAGAGGTTGATTTAGATATGTCTTTAATACCGATCAATAGAGAATAAATAGTGCTACATCCCAGCAGGCATTCGGTGGTTGAATCAACTACGCATTACGACATTAAGATCGGGGTGAAAGGAGGTTTAGAATGAAAATTGAAGCAACATCTTTCATGCAACGTCGTACTGACGTTACAATTCAACGTTGAATCGATGTTGCTACTACGACGTTGCTGC